GAAAGTAACAACGAGAGTGTTGTTCTTGCATTGATTGATGCTGGTGCTGATGTGAACAAAACTTATAGTTTTGGTAAAACTGCTCTGTTATGTGCTGTCAAACAAAGTAACAACGAGAGTGTGGTTGGTGCATTGATTGATGCTGGTGCTGATGTCAACAAAACTGATAATGATGGTCAAACTGCTTTGTTTCATGCTGTCCAAGAAAGTAACAGCGAAAGTGTTGTTCGTGCATTGATTGATGCTGGTGCTAATGTCAACGAGACTGATAATGAAGGMCAAACTGCTTTGTTTCATGCTGTCCAAGAAAGTAACAACGAAAGTGTTGTTCGTGCATTGATTGATGCTGGTGGTGCATCCGTCAATATGCAGGATGTTTATGGGAGAACGCCATTGTTTTACGCTCTCAACTGTCCAAAGTCAGCTCGTATTCTTGTTGAAAAGGGACAAAAACAATACTTTCATTTGAAGGATAACTGTAATTGCTGCATTTTAAACTTTTTTGTTGAAAGACATTTTTTCAATGATGATATTAAACACACTCTTTCAAAAAATATTCTCTCTGACTTTCTGCAATTGCTTGACGAATGTGGAGTACAGAAAATAGCATTTGCTGAAGCAATATTAAATATGGCATTCTGTAAGTTACCTTTAATGTTCCTAAAAAGATCAAAGTTAGAGCAGAAGAGAGATCATATTACTAAAGCCCTAAAACAAGCTAGTCAGTTTATTGATGACGAAAAGAAACTGGAAATATTGATTAAGCTGTTAAATGAAAAATGTACAAATGGAGAAGGGGTACCAGAAGCTTTACGATTATTGGTTGAGTTAGGTGCCGATCCTAATAGTGTTGATTTTTATGGTAATACAGCCCTTCACTATGCGACTTGTTTACCGTTGGTGGGTGTCCCTCAAGAGATTGTGATGGAGATTTGTCTTCAGCTGGAGAACTTTGATGTACAATTTAACTCGCGAAATTACAAGAATCAAACACCTCTTCTGTTTTGTTTGTCTGGACATATGCGTATCATGTTAAAAGAAAATCAAAATACGTCAGCGATCCAAGCAGTGGTTGAAGTCTGTAAAGTTTTGTCAAAACACGGGTCCAGCATTGAAGAAAGGACTCGAAGTGGAAAAACTGTTTTTCATTTAATACTAGAGCTTTTCCAGCAAGTACTTTACTTAAGTGATAAGACAGTAAGACAAGATGTCTTGCATGAAGCAATGAAACTTTTGCAATTATTTACACCTGTAAAAGTAGCCAAAACACAGATTATTAACATACGTGATGCCGATCTCAACTCACCACTACACATTTGGGCATCACTAGAATTACCATCACCTCAAGACTATACCAGTAATGTTACTGAAGATCTCACATTTGAGGAATTCTTACAAACATTATTAAACTACCTCGTAAGATGTGGAGTACAACTGAATGTCAGAAATGGTGCCGATCAAACTCCTTTACATTTGTGCAAGACCTGGATAGCTGTTAATCTGTTGCTTGATGCTGGAGCAAAGGCTAACGATGTCGATTCATCAGAAGCATCACCTCTAGTTGTGGCAGCGCGAGCCAATAAAAAGTGGTCATTAGTTGATAGTCGGGGTTTTCTTTATCCAGATGTTTTAGAGTTAAAAGATCCAAAATCCTTATGGGAAACTGCCATTGACAAGGAACTTGATCCATGGACAGGGGACAAAGAGGGTGAGTCAGTTTTGAATATTCTCATTAGACACAATGAGTTTGTTCTTGCCAAAGCTTTGGTGGACGTGGCTCGTAAGCGGAACTACACTCAGTCCGAGACATTTGCTGTTGGTCTTTTGAATGCCATCTGTAAAGACAAATCAACACACACAAATTGGAAAAGCATTCTTGTCCAAGATATTTTGAAGTCAAGGAAAGGTCCCACAACTGCGTCGGAATCACTTCGTCTTTGCTGTAGAAATGTAATAGAAAGTGGGATATTGGATGATGATAAAGCGGAAGCGAAGTCTCCCTATACAGCTAATGAAGAAGAAGATGATGATGGGCAGCCTGCATCAAAGAAAAGAAAGGACACATCAATCTCTTCAATACAAGCAGAGATTGAACACTCGTCTGTCCACTGTGAAATCTTGAAGATCCTTCGTTTGTATGGAGCTGATGGCAATTCTTGCTTGGACATGGCAAACTCTTCTGATGCTCTTAAAGAACTCCTAACCGAACCCTTAGATATTAACACAGTGTCTGTACTCATTCCATGGACTTCTACGTCAAAGAAATATGAAGTAAAATTGGCTAAAGTTGCTAGGCGACAAGAGTGCGATTTGATCCATGAGGAATTTTGGTGTCATAACGAACACGTAGGAAGTGGATCATTTGGCCATGTATTCATTGGAATCAATGAAAAGGATGGCAGAGAAGTGGCCGTCAAGCGCATTGAGAAATTACGTATGCAGCGCCCAGAAGACAAACGAGAGATTACAAATCTCACAGCGCTTGCAGACTGCGAACAAATTGTTCGTTATTTGTATTTCTTTGAAGAGGAAAAGTTTTCATACATGGTTTTAGAACTGATGGAAGGAAATCTTGACGAGTACCTTACTGATGGTTCCACATTTGACGCCACAAAAAGTACTCAACTTTGTCAAGATGTGGTCAAGGGGTTGAAGTTTCTTCATGAGCAGAATATTATTCATCGCGACCTGAAGCCAGGGAACATTCTCTACAAAACACATCCTCATCTTCGTTTGAAAATTGCAGACTTTGGTCTCAGCCGTCGCATTAATAGTAGCGCAACCACAGTGTATGGTACTAATACAGGAACGAGGTGTTGGATGGCTCCAGAAGTGTTGATGAGTACTCCCAATCATTCCAAGGCATCCGACATGTTTTCATGTGGACTTGTTCTTCATTACATTCTGTCAATACAAAAACACCCATTTTCTAAGAACAATAGTCAAATGCCTCATGAAATAGAAACCAACATGACAAAAGGTAAAATAGAAGGATGGGATGACTCTCTTTCTCCAGAAGCTACTCACCTAGTCAAGAACATGCTTGGTAGTGATGAGAAGGGTCGACCAACGGCAGGGGAAGCTTTGGATCATCCAATGTTCTGGTCAAATAAGAAAAAAGTCGATCTACTTGTTGCTGTTGGAAACCAGACAGTATTTGAATACCCACGTGCAGGAAGATCAACTTGTCTATCTGCTGTGGAGACCAACTTGGAGAAAAGCTTTAGTACCATAGTTGTGCATGGAGTGTGGAATGACCCAAGGTATAAGGACATGCCTCATATCTACGCTGAAATGACGTCCACAAAGAGAAAGTCTTACGATACTTACTCTGTAGTAGAGTTGGTGCGGTTTATACGAAATGCTTACGCACATGTCTCTGAAGGCACACGACCAACAGCAGTCAAAAAGATGTTACTGGAAGACTTTGTGTTTCTGGAGTATTTCCCTCATCTTGTGATGGAAGTGTACAATGTCATGACCGATCATGGATGGGACCAAGCAGTAGAAGAAATCAAGTATGCGATGAACAAGTAAAAGGTAAGATGTTTTAATTCATTCACAGCTTTATAAAAGGGTTTTCATATCATGAGCCATTTCGTGAATTTGGGCAGGCAAATATTATATTTTCTGCCAAAAAATTCTATTATTTGACCAACTATGTATGAGTGCTAAGTGATCAAATCTTATTACCTGACAAATACCCTACTGGCTTACTCTATGGGGTCCTTTTAGATTTGTAACACCCTAAGAGGTACCAAATCACTGATCTGGAACCTAATAGGTGCGACGAGCATCCCCCCTTTTGATAGAATTCCTGTCTTCCGAGTATAACGTTAAGGATTTTATTTCCATTAAATTAATATTCAACTAAAAAGTTATACCTAAAACTCACACCGAATATAATATCAAACGAAACCCAGCACAGCATGAGAAACCATTCTTCTACTAGAAGTCGTAATCATAGTTTGTTTTCTTCTCACAAGGTGATGACTATCATGTACAGACTGTGTGAAAGTACCAGTGGCACAGAGAAACAGGAGACACAGTACGAAACAAGATTATTATTAAGGGACCATTGATAATTGATTTAGTACGTAGGGGAGGGGAGGGGTATCAATCAGTAGGATAGACAAGACACAACACTGTACAA